GAACTAGTGGGAGCATAGTGACATTCGTAATCTTGTGTGAGTGAGACATACTGAATCATGAGAAATTACATTATGACAATGTCGGGTCTTTTCACCTTGACTTGTAATGTGTTTCTAAAATGAAAGACTTAGGAAGGGCTAGATACATTCTTGGAATGTAAAATCTATAGAGATACATAAAATAAATGTTAAAAGTTATATATCTTTATGCATATATTGACAATATCTTGAAAGAGATCAAGATAGAAGATTCCTTTGCAGGAACCTTAGCATTGTCACATGGCACTAAATTTGAGCCAACCTCAAAAGGAACCTAGCACATAGGTTTGAACTAGCTGAAATGATTTATATTTGATTTGTTTGGAAAATAAATCCATCATTTATGCCATATTATACATAAGATTTGGTATATGCCCATGCTATCAGAATATCATACTATACCAATTGAATACATGGTTAAGTGACTGGATAAATATACGAACATTCTAAGAGTAATTTAGAAGGACTAAGAGAATGTATATGAGACAATTAGTTTAGGATAAAATCTTCATGTAAAAAGCTACATAAGATTCTGATTCTGAACAAATATATAAAATTATGAATTATAATTGGATTGTGACTTCATTGTGGGATGAAGAGTAAGTTTAGTTAGAGTGAGGTCCAGCCAAAACATAATGACACAATATACTACAAAATAAGAATATACTACTTTAGAAGTTAAAATCTAATATGATTGAATGAATGAGTTCATTGAAAAACTATGTTGATTTCTGCCATTTAAGGATCACATAGAAATCTTTGTGAATTCGAGAGTACACTTAATCGAGCTAAGAGACTCTATGTCACGTAATAACACCAATTATATACTCCAAGATATTTAACTATACCTAGAGTAAATTCAAATATGGAGATGATAATATTCGTAGAATTCATGCAAATTAAGTTTAATCGAACCCATTAATAAAGTCCTTCTTCTGAGCTAAGTATGAATGGTCACACTTTGGCTATATGACTTTATTATTCTAGAAATGGGATTTTGATTTGGATTTAGTATTTTGATATTCGAACATTGCGACAACAACTATTAAATAATGTTTTGATATACTGGGATATGATCATAGCATCAATACTTTTTGTGTTCTATATTAACATGTTTAATCCATAAATAATCTTATTATTCTAAAAGTTCATAGTCAGTTATAATTGTGGAGCAATTATGAAATAAGACTAATATGAATTGGATCGATTGACTTTCACCAGATGAAGGTAGGAAATGGATTGTAACCAAGTTTCAGAGGTACTTGTTAGAGAACTAGTATTGAACGGACCCGCATCAAGATAACCTCATGGATCACTCTCATGAGTGATAATTAAAAAGTACTATCTTTATATTCGTAACACCTGAGATACATGTGGGACTTAAGTGTGGGGAGTGTTGTGCTTTCATATGGTCAAATTTTGGTCCTTAACAAGGCAGTTATAAAAGCCATTTTTAGGTATGGTGTGAAATATGAACAAGCTTATGTAGTAAATATGAGATTTGTTCCTCCTATGTGTTGAGAGTTAGACATATAAGGTGCCTTACCAAAAATTGAACACCTAATAAGATTGATCGCGATCCGTATCTCATGGTCAACATGATGTCTGTGACACTGGGATAACTGATAAACTTACCTTATACACCATTTGTATCTTTGAGCTTTTTGGGAATTGGACGTTGATAGAATGTCACAAAGGCGTATGTTGATAGGGACAGTGAAATGTTGCTAAATGTTCACCATTGTCTATATCAATCTAATATGAGTCTTGTGCAAGTGGGAGATTGAAGGATCTTGTATGCTCAAGAATCATATTAAAGCGATATTGATAATTAACATATGATACTAATGAGCCACACTAACAACAACTTGATATAATTGATTATTTATTAAAAATTGATTTTAATAAATATTCAACGAACTCTTATATTTTCATGATTGTGTGAAAAAAAAATAATGACAAGAACCATTTGTTGCTTGTTAATTTGAAGATCTATTACGTAATCAAGAAATTAACCAACTAATTAAATATTCACATATCTAAACCCATGATTAAAGACATATGAGCATAGATAAATGTTTTACTAGAAAACATTTTTATAACATCCCATCAAAACCACACAAAATTATTCCTAATCAATTAATTGCTCCATAGATTCACCAATATTGAAAATAAAAACTAAATAGACAAAATAATAATAACAATAAAAAGGATAGAAATTATACTAATACCGATTATGAAACGAAGATGATAAAAGCTCCTTGAAATCGTCACTTCTTGTTGCTCCAAAAACTCCATTCATAATCCAACTATTAATACAAAAATCAACCTAACCTAATCTAATTAAAAAGATAAATAACTTATTAACAAATTATGATTTTGAAATCATAAATGCAATGTTCCAAAAATAAGAAAAATAAATGAGGAATAAGAAAAAAAAGTGAGGAGTTAACGCAGAAGAGAGAATGAACTCTCCACTTGCGTCGTCCCTTCTTTTTCTTTCCTGCCGGCGAATTGAAAATGTGATACCATTTCTTTCCTTTTACTTGTTGCGTTTTTGCCCTACTCTACATAAGAAAAATGGGCCAATTAAATTGTAATGGGCTGTTGAATAAATCACCAAAGTGTACTCATATTTGTGATCATGCGTATCTTTTCTTTCCAGCCCAAATAAAATATGATGATGGCTTTTTAATTGTATTTTGGGCTGCAATAAAGATAATAGGCTGTTAAATAAGATGTTGGACAGCCTAGTGTGCTTCTGTTCACAAGGCTAAAAACCATCTCAAAACGGGTCGGAATCCACTCATTTTCGGTGAGATCGAAGAACGAGTTAGGAAGACGTTTGTAAATTTTCAGCTCAATCGGACAACGTTTGCCCCTCCGTCTGATCGCTTGAAGAAAGTCAGGCAAAGCTGTTAAAATCCGAAAAATTAATTTATATTGCTTTGTTTTTCTTTTCGCTCCCGGATTTTGCTACGAGACTTCAATTTTGGTTGCAAGGAATTCGATGTGGCTTTAACGATGCTCCAAAATACCATCTTGCTCGAACAAATCTACACACAAAAAAACTTAAACGAGTAAAAATATTCAAAACAATAAATCTAACGATTTAATGCAAAAAGAATATTAAAAATGTTAAAACTAAAAGAAAACGATTGCTAAAATATATACAAAAAATCAAGTTATCATTTGCCAAACCTGGAGACATGCGTGTTTGTAAGCTTCAAAAATCGTTATATGGTCTACGTCAAGCGTCTAGAAAATGGTACAACAAGTTTATTGAAGCCTTAGTTGCCATTGGTTTTAAACACTCCAAAGCCGATCATTCTCTTTTTGTCTTCAAAACCTCATCCTTTTACATTGCTACTCTCATCTATGTTGATGATGTTTATTATCTTGGGAAATGATATGGACCGTATTGCTAAAATCAAGACTTATTTGACTCACAAATTCAACATTAAAGATTTGGGGCCATTAAAATATTTTCTAGGCGTTGAAGCGACTCGAACTCCGGATGGGTTGGTGTTGAGCCAACGCAAGTATACGTTGGACATACTAAATGATTGTGGGCTTCAGGGTTGTCGATCAAGTTCTTTTCCCATGGAGCATAACCATCGTCTTGATGATGCTGACAAAACTCCTCTTGCTGATGCCGGTCAATTTCGTCATCTTATTAGGCGTCTTTTGTATCTACATGTGACTTGACCGGACATTACTCTGGCTATCAACACTTTGAGTCAGTATGCCTCCTCTCCTAGACAATTACATTTTGATGTTGTTCTTCGAATATTGCGGTATCTCAAGGCCACACCGGGTCAATGTATTTTCCTACCTTCTAATAGAAATCTTACTCTCAAAGCATTTTGTGATTCATATTGGCTTGGTTGCCCGCTCACTCGATGTTCTAAAACTGGGTATTTCATTACGTTGGGTGGTGCAGTACCCATCTCCTGGCAATCAATGGTTGCCCGGTCGTCAGATGATGCTGAATATCGAGCTATGGCTTCTACCGTTAGTGAGATTATGTGGTTTCGTTGGCTGTTAGAAGATCTAGAAGCACCTCAATCCGGTCCTATTTCTCTTTATTGTGACAATAAGGCAGCCAGACATATTGCCAACAATCCAGTTTTTCATGAACGGATCAAACATGTTGAAATTGACTGTTTTTTTGTTCGTGAGTGTATTGAATCTGGCCAAGTTCAAACGTGTGTCATAAGCACTACTCATCAGGTTGCGGATATCTTCACCAAACCTCTTGGTACTAATAGATTTCGTTATTTGCTTAGCAAGTTGGACGTTTGTGATCTGCAAGTTCCAACTTGAGGGGGAATAAAGGAAATTAGATATCTTTCCTTACGCATATCTGAATATTGTTTCCTTATTCTAGTTTTTCTTGTTTATCAAGTCTCCTAGTTTGTTTAGGTTTCTTTTAAGTTTTAAGCCTTGTATAAATACATGCTTTGAGATTTCTTTTCAATTGAATGAATTAGCTTTTAAACTCTTTATCAGTTTCTCTAATTAATGATTGTTATATTTTATGGCAATTATAACATCGGATTGGAATTGGATGATAAGTGGATGGGGATAACTCATATTGAGTGATAACTGGATTGATTTAATTATATTTTCGTTTTTTGGATCCGTGTTGTCATTTAAGAACCGATTGATCCAATTTAGATATTAAAATTTTGGAATAGATCTCAATTACTATTAGAACTATACATCTAATGTTTTCATCGGTTTAAATTAAACCAGTTAATTTTTGCATACTCTTAAGTTTATGAAAATACGTTGTTTGTTCAATTTAACTTTTTAACGAAAAATCAAGCATATATGATACCTGATAGATAACTTATCTGCATAAAAATAAAAATATCACGATTTCAAACGACGAATCGACTAAAGGTTGAATTCAATATGTTATCAATTTTTTAATGCATAAGCTACAAATCTTAATTGCTTGAATATCGAACCATATGGCCATAATATATATAGCCTTTCATTTGCCTTCCACCCTTTCTTGCTACTGTTGGGAGTATCTGCATGTTCCATAACCTGTTTTTTTTTTTTTTCCATTGGCAAAAAAATATCAAATTACTTCAATACCCCTTGCAAAGTAATTGTAATGTCTAATGTATACAAAAATACATCAAAATCTATTCACACAATTAGCAAAAACAGATACTTTAAACGGGTTGGATAACATATTAAAACAGTTTCCGTTTGAAACAAACAATTTTAATATGTCCGGTTCCGGTTGATCCATCAACACTTCTTTTATCCATTCTTTTTATAAACAATCTTAGTAATTAGCATATAAAATGTAATTACAAAACTTATACTATTAGAATAACAATTGAATTTATCTAAGTAAAAAATGGTTTGACCTACGGGTGTCGAACGGGTAAAATTTTCGGGTTTTGGGTAGAACGGGTATTTCCTTAAGAAAATAATACCCGATACCCGACCTATATTGTAATTCGGGTTTTCAGGTTTCGGGTTTGAGGTCGGGTCGGGTAATTATCGGGTATACCCGAAAATTTCTTAAATGACACTTATTGATAATTTTTTTTCTTTATTTTTTTATTTTTACATGTTGGTTGGTTTAATAAAGAATCGGGTAGGAAAATACTCCATACAATTAACAAGTATATATAAAATAACAATACAAATCATTATAATATGTTATGTACTTTTTTAATTCCATTCCGTGCGATAGTGAGAAACTGAGAATTGTGATGACGGTTCAGGACTTCAGCTTCAGCTTCGTATTCCCTTTGAAAGTTTGCGTCGACTGTCGGGTTGTCGTTCATAAGAAGGAAACGAAGGGTTTTGTTTTATTTGAAGTGTGCGTACGTGATTGCATTGTATATTTGGTATTATTTAAAAAACGAATTCGGGTATACCCGAAAATAAATATTCATACCTAAAACCCGACATATATTATTATCGGGTTAACCTATTACCCGAATGTTCATACCCGTTACCCGTTCTACCCGACCCATTCTACCCGAATTCGGAACGGGTCGGGTGGGTAGAACGGGTTTCAAGTTTTTTCGACAGGCCTAGTTTGACCATAACAAACACAATTTTAGGGTAGCACGCCTGAGGGGCCTATGGCTCCCACTAAGGTCCGCCATTTGGTTCAACACTAAGTGAACATTATGTAAATTAAATCAAATCAAGTAAATGTTTCTTTTTAAAACAAGAATGATAATGAAAGATCAAAAATGAATAAAAGAGGGAAAAACTTACTTGGGTCACTGAAGGTGACTAGACCACTTCCTTTAAAATCACAATTCCAATAATTTCTTCCATGCATTTGATAATACGCATTCATTGCATACGATGCATGTGCATGAACCTTATTCGGCATAAAACACCCCCCATTTTCATAAACCTCCCTACAATCCACACCACCTGCCCCACAACAAAAGTCCAAAACACCCTGAACCACCCTCTCATCGGCATGTGGCTTAGCCACACACCAAACCGATGGACCCCTTTGAACCATCTTCGACCCTGGTCCGAACCCAAACTCCATTTTGGTTCCACTACAAAACTCACAACTCAAGTCCACATCATAAACCTTCGAACCATCCCCATTGAAGAGTCCAAAGTTTCTCTCACTTGCTCCTCCTTCTTTCTTGTTTTCATTAAATAAAGCAAACACAAATATGTCTATTTTGTCGTTAGGTTTCATTGGGGTTCCTTTGTTGGATTGGGCCTTGGTGATTAACCTAGTGTTGTAGGTTTTCGCATTGTCCGGCGAAGCTGCTGTTTCGTCAGGCTCGCCTTTTGACGGCCATCCGGATTCGGAAACAGTGATATGAATCGATCTGTTTCCGAATCCAAGCGACGCGATCGCTGACCTGATCGCGTCGATCTGTGCGTCTAACATGTTTGTGTAGACATATCCGCTAGGGTCGTGGACCCCGGTGGAGTTCCCGAGTAGCGCGTATTCTAGTGGGACTGTGGTAGGGTTGTCCCGGTAGGCGAAGTAAGGGTAGGCATTGACCATGAACGGTGAGCCGGTGTCGGCTAGGAAAGTAACAATGGAGGTCATTGTTGGCATGAGTGTGGTGGCAAAGGTGGAGGCAGACGGTGGAAATGAGGTGGCTAACACCGCCATGCTATGTGGGGTTGAGATCTTGATTTTCCGGTCAAGTCCACGGGTTAACAAGACTTCGTGTAGGTTTTGCATAGCTTGGATAAGGTTATTAGGGTCAAGGCTGTCGTCATCTGTGGCTAAGTATTCGTTGCCGACAGCAATGGCGACAATGGAGGTGGCGGGGATGAAAGGGGCGATACGGGCTGAGAACCAGTCCTGGGCGGCGGACTTGGTGGAGCTTATGTTAGCAACATGGTTGTTCTCGACGGCGACTATGAGGTCTATACCGGAGTTGGAGAAGGCTTGGAGGATTTGAGGGTTGGAGTCGTAGATCTTGACCTTGTCAATGAGAGTGGATTGGAGGAGTTGGGCTACTGTTTTTGGTGAAGGAAGGTTGTTTCCCAGTGTGCCATAGTTTATCCCGACGGAGGAGACGGTGGTAATTGGGCAGATGAGGTGGAGGAGGAGAGGAAGGATATAGAGTAGGGCCATTTTTTATGGAGTGAACGAAGCTAGCAAACATGTATGGAACGACCTGATGATATAACCTTTTTTTCTCACTATGGCCATTATAAAATGATAGTGAAGTTTATTGTGTTGTACAATATTTTTAAAGCTAATTACAAAACAAAGAATAGAAAGTCATATTATAAAATAATAATATTTTTAATATTCTCTCATAAAATCATTACATATTTGGAGAAAAGAGTATTTGTTAATTCATAAAATCATTTTTTTCAAACATAATATTTTAAGACCATTTCACAAGAAAAATATATTATTTTCAAATAAGAAGAATCACAAAATTAGCTAACATAAATGTGTATTTGAAATTTGAATAAACTTATATGCAATAAAATCCGTTACGGTAAAAGAAACCATCTTTATAGGGACTCTAGAGTCTAGACCACAACCATGTGTACTTAACCAATTTCATTAAACAAAAAACGTTTCCATTTAAAAGATTTTTTTTCACTAAAATTTTGGCAAATATGATGTTATAGACCATTATCGTTTATAAAAAAGCCTTTTAAATATTAATTCCAAAATTACGTTTATAGAAAATAAAACTAAGAATTTACCACAATCTATCCAAATTTGTTTTAAAGAATGGGACCTGATATCTGAAAATGTTGACAAAAAGGATCAATCTATTTCAAAAAGAAGCCATGAAAAACACTTTTTCTAGTGGAAAAGATCTTTTTGGTTCCAGCTGGTTTACTGACACATACGGAAAAGAATGACACATTTCCGTGATTTTTGTATCATATTCATACCCATCATCATCTATTCTAGCACATTCAAACAATGGTAACTTTAGCAATTATTACCTACACACGACCAACACTGTATTACCTTTGACTAAAACTTATTTCGGTATGGTACATTTTGGTTACTTTTCAGACAAAGTTGAAAAAAATGGTCTATGTGGTCCCCTCGATTTAATTGTCGACCACGATTAGGGCTCCGACGGTTGCAGCCGAAGGAGCTACGGTGGTTGGTCGGTGCATTTGTATGTCGTACGGCTTGTTGTTGCCCTCAAACATTAAGTTGTTTTCCTTCTTCTTCAAGAACTTGAGGGATAATGATATCTCATATATCATGAGTTCATGACCTCATTGGCAATCTGATCGATTATGTCAGCGGTCATAACAATTAAGGATGGTTTGAATTTTCAACAATATGCTTTGAGGTATACCCTTCTCTTTTTAGCCATAGAAGAAATTACCCCATTATGAATAATGGCTGGATGACATCTCAGTGCAGAACTTTTCATGATTAGAGCTTTATGCCCCTTTGAATTTTATTTGTTTAATGTCCCTTTGAATTTTATTTGTTGAACTTTTCATGATCAGAGTTTAAATTTCTAGTCCTAAATTGGTGGTGTTACAATATACTTTCTATAGTGACTGATGCCATTTAAGAAAGTTACTTGTTAACTTATGGTGTACGTGGGCGTCTTTGAGGGTGTGCGAGGTGAGCGGCTGCACAGAGCCCATGTTGTGGAAGGGGCCAAATTTTACATATGATTAAGTTCATAGTCTAACAATCGACAACCCGGTAATCAAAAGGATAAAAACTTATGTATTTTCCAATTCCAATAGCTAACGCTACAATTAAAAATTGCAACAACTCAAGTTTTGAAAATTTTGGCATAAAATTAAAATTGCATTTGGGCTAATTCAAATTTACGGTAAACAAGAGCTTACATCTTGTTTCATTTCAAACTTCCAAATTTACAGCAACTGCAAAGCTTGAACGACATTTTTTGTTTCTTGGTTTTCTGATTCCATTAGACTCCATCTCTCGTTTATATAGCACTCTCGCTCTGTTGGATTAACCGGTTTGAAATATCCATAAAATGAGTTTTTAGTTTCAAGGGCATTTTAGGAAAGTTACGTATTTCAGTTTTATTTTATTGTTTTATAGTTTGAGTAGGATTGTGTTTTAATTAGTATATATATTTGTAATAATTTGTTGGAGCCCCACATTTTTTTGTTTAACCTTTGGAATCAAGTAATTACTTTTTTCTTCTTTTCTTTTAGCAATCGTTTTCTTTCTTTTTGCTTCTTGTTGGTCAATCTTTGCAACACAAGAAAATTGTATCTTGTTTGTTATCTACACTTAGTATCAGAGCCTAGGGCTCGTGAAGGCGTAGGGCGGCCGGTTTGAGAGTCGGTTTCAAGAAAACTGTAGCCTTTCGCTACCGGCAGACGCAACGAGAACCATGTTTGGTTTAAGGGGGCATATATTATATTTGAGCGCGAGTTGAAGCATCTCAACTGCATCCCTGATTTCTTTTAATCGAACTTGTTCTAAGATAGAGATAGACTAACCGGAGGCACGGAATAAATGAACGGGAAGACGTCAAAGCGGGCGGCTTTGAGTTGGTTTGTTTTGTGGGTGACGGAAGACGGTAAAGGTGGTTGTGACCTTGTCTTGTTGATCGGTGGAAGAGTGCTACCGGAACAAGCTTGATTAAAGAGGTCGGGGTGGTGAAAAGAGATAATAGGATGTCATCAGTTAAAGAACGAGGTTCAATGATGTTTCAAGTTCCGGTTTTGACTCCAACGAATTATCTGGTGTGGGTAATCAAAGTCAAGGCGATTTTGGATGCATACGACACATGTGGGACGATTGAATCGAAGGCATTCGGTGGAAGAAAATCTCAGAATATGATTGATCAGCAAAGGTATGGTTGTCAAATAATGAAGGGAATAGACAAACAACACGATGTGAACATTATGACAATCGATGTTCAAATCTGGATGACTTTAGAAGTGGCAGGGGAAGAGGTCAAGGGTCTGGGAGAAGTCGAGATGGTAATAAATGTGTCCGGGATAAAAGTCACGTTAGATGTTACAAATGTGGTGAGTTTGGTCACTATAAAAACGAGCGTCCTAAATGAGAAAAGAAAGAAGCGGGTCTAATCGAAGAAGAACCGATAATATTTTGAATGAGTGGAATGATCAAACCAATTAAGGGAGTGATTGTTGGATTAATCGGTTTGAGATATCCATTAGATGAGTTTTTAGTTTCAAGGGCAATTTAGAAAAGTTATATATTTAAGTTTTATTTTATTATTTTAGAGTTTGAATAGGATTCTATTTCAATCCTTATATATAGTTGTAATGGTTTGTTGGAACCCCACGTTTTTTTGTTTAACCTTTGGAATCAAGTAATTACTTTTTTCTTCTTTTATTTTAGCCGTTGTTTTCTTTCTTTTTTGCTTGTTGGACAATCTTTGCAACACAAGAAAATTGTATCTTGTTTGTTATCTACACACTCTAATGTTTTATTGTTAACTGAAATTAAACAACTTAATATTTTATTATTCTTAATTTTTAAATCTGATGGCATCTCATTTTATATTCTGATTGTTGTCACTGATTAAGGAATGTAACACAATAACAAACAAATTCTAAATAACGCTACAAGAGTCTCGCGATTCATTTAACTATGTAAGATTATATACCGTAGTATTGTTTTTTTTGTTTTGATTGTCTTTATAATATTTATCGAGTTATCGCCGTATGAACAAATTTTTGTTTATATATAAAAATTATATTTTGGGGCCCATTTTTTTTTGCACCAGGCCATCAAAATCAACAAAACCTTGGGTGTACTTTCTATGAAGACCAATATCATCTAAGACGTTTGCTTGTCTTCTAATGCCACCACATATTAATCTATCTAGTCGTCATGTATTGAAATGGATCCATGGTATCATCATCAAGAACTTGTAGAAACATATCGTTCTCAATAGAAATGACTAAACAATCGTTTAAAACTTGATCATCCATTTTATTCCGCAACTTATTCTCTCTACACTTGTTGTAGAAACAAAAAAAAATATTTTATATAGTTATCCTATTCCATACATTAAAAACATGCTACAATCATTTTAGCTGAGGATATAATAAGACAACTTGTTGAAATATATATATATATATATATATATATATATATATATATATATATATATATATATATATATATATATATATATATAGGGTTAGTATCAAATGTGAATTATAAATATTGTGTGAATGTATGACCAACTTATAGCCATTAGATTAAAAGAATGAAATGATATGATTTTAGGGTATACACTATTAACATGGACTAGCATATATTATATAATTACTATTATTAATTATAAGGACATTTATTATATTTTATAAAGAGAGAGAAAATTAAAATTATCTAAATTTTAGGATATTAAGTAAATTAATTAATAAAAATCAAATCAAATTTAATATTTTATTCAATGCATTTAAATTAAATCATATTTTTTTTAGAACACGTCTTAATTTAAACATGTATGAACATGTAATTTGCTTCTTTCATTCTTAATGAATACATATGTACGTGTAATTTGATTTTTTCATTCTTAAAGAATACGCATGAGTTCGTTTAATATATATTTTTTTTATTCTTTTCGTTCTTAAATAAGATTTTTTTGTGAAGTAAGATTCTTGAAGAATACACATCATATATTAGATAATAACATATTGAAAATTACTTACGCCTTGAATCTTTAAGACTATGAGAATATAATCTAATCTATTCTTGACGAATATAATATTCATGGTTAAGAATCATTTTTTAAAATTAAATCTTGTTATATATCATAAGAATAGTTAAGAATCAATTATTTTTGTTTAAACTTGATGTTTGATAAAGAGAATAGTTAATTTTAATATTGTCATAAGACATTGGTGATAAATGTACATAACATTTTGATGAATATACATAACCTTCTATAATATGTTTGTTTAAGAATCTGTTTGTAACATATATTATATTCTTTATATAATATATAACAATCTTGAACAATATACAAAAATAATGATATATACTATATTTTTTAAAAATTTGTTTGTCTAAAGGCCAATATGACATACAAAATTCTACATTATTCTCCATCATTCATTGTTTTTATCACCTCCTTTTATCTTAGGACGACCAACACTACCTGAAACGTTCTTAACCATCAATACACTTTTTTACCAGCCTTTCATTCTTAAAGAATATGTTGGTTCCAGTTTTTCATTCTGAACGACTACTCTTATCATATGTTTCTCTTAGTCTTTTATTCTTAAAGAATATGAAAATGTATATCATCATCAACCAATAAACTAAATCTGCAAATCAAATTTCTCATGTTTGTCACTATTCATATACACATATTGATATAAATCTTTGTCACTATTCATATACTATATTGATATAATTTTATCATCATATTAAACAAAAACATAATACCAATCAAAATTCAATTAAATAAACAAAAATCTAAACATAATACCAATCAAAATTCAAGAATAAGTTTACATGTACTCTAAAAAAAATTATTATGGAAAACAAAATGAGTTAGCAATAAAAAACAAATAAACTTGAAAAACATAATCCATAAGTCTTTTTGTATAAATGGATATTTTAGCAAAATGAACATTTTAAACTATTTATAAATTCTTTAAGAACATGATTCTTGCTGTATCATGGAAAAAAAATTACGATTGAATGTGTTTCTTGGGATTATAATTGGAAGATAACCTAAACAATATAACATGTAATGAAAAAAAAAACAAAAATCTTACCTTGTTTAAAATGTTAGGCTTTTTTAAATCGCCTGAAAGATATTCACCGTCGAAGGAAAAATACACTACAAAGGAGTAAACAAAGATCAATGAATATGAATGAGAAAAATATGAAGATCGATGATGATGATAAAATATGTATGGATTTTATCCGGGCCTAATATATTGGAATTCCAACTTAATGATAATTGTCAAGTTTCCTTAATTATTGAATTTAATAGTTATCATTTTACTAAATAATATATATTAAAATTATTAAATGATTGGTTTAAAATTGATCATACATTCACACAATATTTAGAGTTTATATATGAACCTAACTCTCTCTCTCTGTGTCTATATATATATATATATATATATATATATATATATATATATATATATATATATATATATATATATAGCTCTGCCACTACATCCATAATCATATGTTATGGGATTGCATTATATCATAAACAAGAAATTAAAGAAACCAAAACAAAAAAATCAAAAAATACCGAATCTGAACCAAAAGAAAACACGTAAATCGAACAGAAAAAGGCGGACAAAATGACCACGAGACCGGACTGAAAATATCGAGATCGGTCCGAAAAAAGACCGATCCGAAAAAGATTGGATAAGAAAAAGACCGATCGGGATCACTCCTAAAAAAGACTGGACCGTTCTGAGAGCAACCTCAAAAAGAACAGAGCGTTTCAAGACCGACCTAGAAGTAGTCCGAAACCAATGTATAGCTCTAACAACACCAGTTTCCTACGTAAGTAATAGAAAAGATTGGGCCAAATCTGAACAAAAATTAAATAGAGAATATTGGGCTGGGCTTTTTTTCAAACGATAAGTGTGTCTGTGTGTGGATTGTTGCCGGATCAAAAGAAATCAAATTCGCAAAGCTTTGGAAAGCGGAAACATCTTGACCTAATTTACTTTCCAGTTCCCCCCTAAAGGCCACAGCCACAGCCACGCTCCCGTCTCCTTCTTCATTCCTTCGATCCCTTGTAAATAACATCAACTGCCGGTGCTATCAGCTAGCTCGTCGTCGCCGGTGTAGCAACCTAGTTTCCGGCTCGCCGCAGATCATTCTTCTCGCCGCCGCATCCCTCTCAGCCTCAGGTAGGATTTTCATTGTGACCTTTGTTGATCTATTCTGTAAATTTCGGGCTTGCAGCCTCACAAACGTAACTGGCCAGATACATGTGAGTATGTCCCTTTGGTTTTCATTACGTATTCTGTTGACATAAACATCGAGTTTTTCGTATCAAAGTGTCTACATCATTGCATCATTGTAAATCACCTTAAACATTGAGTTAATTTTCACTCGAAGTTCACCCCACCTTAAACATTGAGTTAATTTTCACTCGAAGTTCACCCAAAATCAATGTTGATTATATTTATTGCTTGAAGTATGGCTGAAAAAGGGTATTTTGGTGAAATGTTTTGCATATGATGGCTTACACTTGATCTCTGAATAACAGGTAAGTACTGTTGACAAATTCATAGTGCTGATGCAATTTTCTTTGGGTGTTGCTATTTAGTATTTACAGCCTTTTTGCAGGGTGCAAAGTGTACAATATCCTAAAAGATTTTAGCAAATAAATTATCATGATACAATCTTCCAAGTTCATATCTATCAAGAATCAGTAATTGATGCATCATTTAATGTGGTCAAATTACTTAACTATCATTGTTGTTTGCCAAATTAGCGGTACATTTGTTTTTTTAGGTGATTAATACCTTTAGAAAGCACAAAATCAGACAAAATTTAGTATTTATGCAACCTATAATCTAAAAATAAATATTAGCTTACAAGAAAATAATTTGATACCCTTCAATGAAAGATAACCCATAAGTTGATACACAGAAGTTCATAACACAATCACATAAGAACTTTTCTTCATAAATGTTGCTTTCATAAATCATTAGTATTATTGTGAACAACAATATAACGCTCATACTCAAGTAGTCAAGTGGGTTCCTTTTAACTTCAAGAGTGATATAAATTCTTAAAACTTGAAGAAAATCTAGTTGCATTAGTTTCGTCATAGATACTAAAAAGAAAAGTGTTGGTAAATTTGTGGCAGAAGTCACAAAACCCTTAGAGATAGACTTCTAAAATCAAAACCTAGAAGTTTTACTATCAAAAATCGCTAAGGGTTTTGTGACTTCTGCCACAAATTTACCAACACTTTTCTTTTTAGTATCTATGACGAAACTAATGCAACTAGATTTTCTTCAAGTTTTAAGAATTTATATCACTCTTGAAGTTAAAAGGAACCCACTTGACTACTTGAGTATGAGCGTTATATTGTTGTTCACAATAATACTAATGATTTATGAAGACAACATTTATGAAGAAAAGTTCTTATGTGATTGTGTTATGAACTTCTGTGTATCAACTTATGGGTTATCTTTCATTGAAGGGTATCAAATTATTTTCTTGTAAGCTAATATTTATTTTTAGATTATAGGTTGCATAAATACTAAATTTTGTCTGATTTTGTGCTTTCTAGAGGTATTAATCACCTAAAAAAACAAATGTACCACTAATTTGGCAAACAACAATGATAGTTAAGTAATTTGACCACATTAGATGATGCATCAATTACTGATTCTGATAGATAAGAACTTGGAAGATTGTATCATGATAATTTATTTGCTAAAATCTTTTAGGATATTGTAATCTTAATTTCATGGTCCAAGATTCATATGTACACTCTATCTTCTTGTGTTAATTTTCATTAAATATGATAGTAACCAAAATTTATTACCATTTCATGACATGGGTACCTCACAAAAGGACACAAATCATCCGTATTCAATGCAAACCGAATAAACAATTCTTATCATCATTTCAAACAATGGTTATGAAGAAGTTTGAAGAAACAATAGCAGCAAAAGATTCAACCGAAAATGGGAATTCATCATCTTTAATGGAAGAAATTTCAAACAAAAAGCATCGAATTGAAGGACCTTTTGTGATGCCACTTATATCAATTCCTAAACTTGAAGAACAAAGTTCAAATGCATCGATAGTTTTATCTGGAACTGCTAAAAAAGGCGAAATCGGACCACCTTTAGGAACAGTGGATATCGGTGTAAACAAAAGCGCGTATTTTTTTCAAGTTGCACTACCTGGTGTCAAGAAAGATCCTGGTTTATTTTCTTATTCCTTTTACATCATAATATCAATAGCTGTATCACGTTCTGAAGCGTGATACAGCTATTTGTATCACGCTTCAGAATTCTGAAGCGTGATACAACTAATTGTATCGGGCTTCAGTTTTTGCAGAAGCCCGATACAGGTAAACTTTATGTGAGATTTACATATAAAGTTTACTATTTTGATCTCGCAGGTCAATTTAGCTGTGAGATTGAACGGGGCGGGATGGTTCATGTGAGAGGAGAAACATCAACAGGTGGGAAAACCGTAACGAGACATTCGCGGGTTTTTGAAATGAAATTTCAACAGCAATCGCCACCTGGACAGTTTTCTTTGTCTTTTAGTCTACCTGGACCTGTGGACCCCAGGCTGTTTTATCCTAATTTTAGATCAGATGGCATCTTTGAAGCTATTGTTGTGAAATGCGAAGAGTAAAGTTTGTGTGGACTATTTTACCCTTTTCAATTAAGCACTTGTATTGTACAGGGATGAAGATGATGTTTGTTGTTTGGGATAGGCTGAAGGTTGTAGCTATTTTAGTTGGACTCATGGACTGAACTGTTTTATGGATAAGAGGTTTGGCCTAAATGACATAATACCCATAACAACTTCTTACAATCTGATGCCCTGTATTAGTTTACTGCCCTGGGCTTAGGCCGGCCCTGATAGGTAGTGTCCATCTAAAAGGGGACTACCTAAAGACAATATTCATAGCGGTTTCTATGGACGGAAAAAACCAGAATCTGCATATAGCATTTGGTATCGACATGCCAAATAATGTCGAGTCTTGTACATGGTTCCTGATGAAGTTGAAGGAAGCTCTCGGAGAGGGTAGGGAAGTGTCGTTCATAACCAATATGGACAATGACAAATAATCTGCATATAGATGTTGATGAGATTTTATCGACTGCGCCAAAATATATATCCCCTATAATTTCTTAATTTATGGAAACCAATATAAGTATTAAATAGCTTTTGTAACGACTATTTAACTAATGTTAATGAAAAGTATTACCATTTTAGATAACGCTACCACTTATTTTACATAATTAAGTTTGAACTGACATTACAATATTTAAAATTAGAGTAGATTTCAAGGATAATCGAGATTGCATTTGGTTCAAACTAGCATTGTCTATATGATTTTCAAACAATTTCATGTAGGTCTCAATTAGGCTGAACCTATTATTAGTCATTTGGACTCGTTCTTTTATTTTTGCTCTTTTCCTACGTGCTTCTTCGATGATGTCCATTGTGTTTACAAATTGTGGTATATCTTTAATGTGACATCCCCTATTTTTCAGAACTGAATAAAAACTTTTCTTTATGCTTTCAAAACCATATTATATTTGTTTGCGGAAAATCTCAGTATAATAAAACATTTTGCAGAAACTGTCTTGTTTTATTAAAATATTGTGAGTAAAGATGTTATTTCTAAATACAAATCCCTAAGGATGTCATAATCAATACAATACATAAGTTACAGCATAAAGACCTAACGGTTCTGAACACTATTGTAGACTTGTCTCATTAGTTACTTGGCATCCTATTTAGTTCCAACAGTCTTAACGCTACCTATGATGCATATAGTTTGAGTGAGTCAGGTTTAGGAAAACCTGGTGAGACACATAAGGTTTTCAATCCCATAATCTTATTATGATACCAATAATCCATAATTAATAAACCTACAAAACCAACTGTTACCAACAATATATCATTTAACATAGGTATCCATAAGACAATCTACCTCGTCCTATCGATTCTCACATATTGATCCTTAAGATCTAACCTGATGGACACCCGTTATGTTATAAAATATGTCTGTGGGTTTTAAATTCACATTAACAATGTAATTCACGAGACTTTCTAGATCAATCACGTGTTGTCATCTTACTCTAGTAGATGACCATACATACCTAACTGGTTGCCTGATATAGACCCACCATTTATGGTTGTCCAAAAAAAAGAGGAATACCAGTATAGTACTTTGGTACATAACCTTTACCCTGACACACAACAATGTCATAGAACAGAGTTTTACTCTCCCCTCTAATCTAACACACACTCATGGCATAAAACTATCCAAAATTCTACTTAATTGAACAAAGCATTCCTTTCAAGTCTTAGTTTGTAACTAGACATGACTACTAAACCATAATCCATCTTAAACACAATTTTCCTGTTTATACAATACTACCACATCCAATGATCACCTCTGACCCTATACGATGATCACCTCTAGGGAAAAACCGAAAACTGCACGGACAGAACTTTAAAACCGAAAGATCTATATTAAACGTCCTTCAACATCTAATGATCACCTCTGACCCTATACGTATGGACGGAGCTTTATTAGGGCGAGGGAGGGCTGCGACCCCCCCCCCCCCCTGATTTTTTGGTTAGAAGTGGCACCTATATTTTAATTTATACATATTAGACCCAAAACTATAACATTTTGGTTGCACCCCCCCTGCTTACCAATTTTTATACATATTTGATGTGTGTGAAACGAACTAGTTTTAATCCTACTAACTTAAACACAAAGACAAACACACGAAAGGCAGTGTACCTATCGATTAGCAGTTTAGTTCAGGTAAGTAGGGTATCGAACACAGGGAACGGTAAACAATTAAAATAAATGCTAATATTATCTAATTAAAACAATTAATAAACGTAGGGGGTTTCTCTAGTTTTGCAAGATTAGAAACTTAAACAATCAATTAACACTTAAACAAAGACAATTAACAACTAAGAAGAACAAGAAAAGACAACTAGATTCAATGATAAAAGAGACTTCTGTTCAGATTCGATTCACTTATTCTTATGGTTGATTTCGTGGCAAGTGCAATGGATCAATATGTCAATGGTTACCGATTCCTAATGTGATTGGGTTCTTGTTCACTATTACCAATCCTTTAGTAGATAAGTTAATTCAAACAGTGGCCAGTTGATTAAACTAACAAGTTTCCTAGTGTTCAGTTCATATCAAGTAAGACTTGTAATAATAGCTAATCAAATTTGTTCAATTCAATCAACTCATATGTGGTTGTTCATCACACATGCTCACACATTGATTTACATATTTTCTAGTTAACCCTAGTTTCATGTTCACTATTCCTAGGCATACAATCTTGTAGTCACAAAACTATATGAATCAAGTAATCAAGAAGATGTTCATGCAACTCAATAACTTACTTAATAACATAAAACATTTATCATCAATACATGAGGATCTTTAACAAGCTTAACAAGATGAATAACCAAATTAATATTAATCCAACCACTCAATCAAACCATGTTCATAAGATTATCTCATCCAAACAGAAGTAAAAAACTTTTAGCTCATATCTACAAGTAATAATCTAAAATCAAAATCTAATGATTCAAACATGGTTCAAAACAAAGATTAAGAAAAGAAGAATGATTATTTGTCTTTGATTCTCTTCTAAATTGTCTCTTATGTTGCAATCTCGAAAAATAGCAGCTCCAAGAACCCTTCTGGTCTTCAAAAGTCGCAGCTAGCCTCCAGCAAAAAGTTAGGGTTCGAATGAGAAGTGTTTCTATATATAAATTCTGAAAACAGGGCCAACTCGACGACTTTTCACCACAAACTCGTCGAGTTTTTTCGATAATCCGCGTATACAGCGTGTACGACAAGGCATCTTCGAATCTGGAACATTCTAACAAACTCGTCGAGTTTGTGCTAAAAACTCGTCGAGTTTCTTTTGGAATCAACGTTTTCTCAAAACACGAAAGTCGTCCGAAATTGTGTCTAGTTTTCATAACATTTTGAATCTCGTCAATCTGAGTTACGGTTCATGAGATATGGCCAAAACACTGACGAGGGGTCAAGCTGTCCAACAACATCCTTCTTTCTTCAATCTTCAATCTCCAAGCTTCCAATCACTCAATCCTCTTCCTTTTTCACCCGAGCATGTCTTTTATTGTTGAAATTGAAATATTAAGCTAATTAAGTACCTTTTGTTCATTAAATGAGATAAAATCAACATAAAATATTAAGATAATGCATGGATTTTATAACTAGATATGCCCATATCAATATTATATTTTTGGCCCCTCCAAATCAAATGTTGAAGCTCCACCCCTAACTATACGATGCCTAGTGTGGTGAAGCAGACTGTATCGGCTAGAGAAATAAAGTTGACATTTTAGGGAGTCTGTCGTTCGACTTCGAGCAAAAGGAGAGTATGTGCTAGCAAAAAATAAAGACAAGAAGAGAAAGATAATCTAGACAAAAAAAAACGTCGCATATAAGGCTAGCCGTCAACAAATTTTTTTAGCAAATGTATGTAGGATGTAAATGGAAAACAATCATAAATTAACCGAGAAAAAATAAATTATGATGTTAGATTTAAGAATGACATAACCAAAAGAACCTTATTAGTAGTGTTTGTTTGTGTACTAATCTTATGCAACAATCTTTTCCACTAATAAACACTAAGGCTGTGTTTGGCGCGCCACAGCTAGCTGATAAGCTAGCTTATTTTTCGAGCTTTTTTATGTTGTCGTGTTTGGTAAGCCAAAAAGTAGCTTATAAGCTAGCTTTTTGAAAAACTAATTAGACTAGCTTTTTACGAGCTTTTTTAAAATTTTCCAAATACACACTTTAATTAATTGTAGAAACACATACTCTTACATGTCCTTTTATGTAATTTTATATATTTCAGCTAGCTTTTCAGCTAGTTTTACCAAACGTTATTTTTTATTAGCTAGCTTTTCAGCTATCAGCTAACTTTTTATTTAACAGCTAGCTTTTCAGCTATCAACTAGTTTTTCAGCAAACAACTAGCTTTTCAGCTAGTACGTCAAACATAACCTAATAAGATCTAAACATTTTTTATAAGTAACAAATCTCCATATATTTAATAATAATTAAAAGTAAAAAAAAAAAAAAGTTAAAGTTTTGAAAGCCGCTATACAACCCTATAGGTATGCTTTGGTTAAAACATGGACATGCCCAAAAAAACCTAGGTGAAGCCCGGACACAACCCTAGAAACATGCACGATGGAAGCCTATGGGGCTACACATGTGGTCCGTTGACCGGTATCATGCTCACCCCAAAGCGAGTCCGGGCACTATGTGCATCTTTACTACAATCGACTATTGATGTCATCAAGTGTGATTGACTGTAAGACCATCTTCAATTTATTTTCATTTTCTTCTTAAAAATGGAGTAAATAATGTTTTATCTTCAACCTTATTTTATTTTTTACTTAATTTTTACACTAAAAAAATATATTTTTAAGTATATTTTCATTTGCAACTTATATATATTGTCAAATACATACTTTCTACTAATTAGTTTTTAGCATATATAGCTATATATATTATATCTATTATATATATATCTATAGATATATATCTATATATATAGATAGATATATATATATATATATAAACAAAGTTAATACATAAATGAAAATAATTCTACTCAAATTCAAATGATAAACCAAACCCATTTTTTTTTATTTACTTTCATTTCAATCTTAAATGAATAGATCACTTTGGGCATATTTTGGGCATTATAGACCAATCATTTTTTGATTTACTTTCATTTTAATCTTAAATGAATAGACCAATCATTTTCTATATATATATATATATATATATATATATATATACTAACGAGTCTAGATTTGAAAACCACATAGTTCATTAATTTCTATATATATTCAAAGATTTTTATTGGTAAGGTAGGTCCTAAATATTTTTTAAGGTAGGACCCTAAAAAACTTTTATAGAAATTTTAAATAGATTAAAAAAATTAGGTGAGTCCACCTTCCTTACACATAGCCGCGCACTATAGATTATTATAGTATATATATATATATATATAATATATATATCTATATATAATATATATATAGATATATATATATATATATAATATATATACGGCATATACATTACAGTCTCACTTAAACTTAGATACTAAATCTCTAAAATATGTTGTTTTAACATAGCAAATATACCCAATTTGGTTTTCACTTGTTAAATATATCATCACCGATAACATTTCTTTCCTCCATTATCGTTTTACCATCCGTATTTTCTTTCATTCATTATCGTTTATTACTTTACCATAGTGAACATTACTTTTTTTAATTGTCACGAAGGTTGAAGATAATCAATATTCTTGTTTCTTATCAAAACTATTATGTCGATCTTGAATCTACATCTTCAAGTGTTAATCGTGAGTCCTCTAACCGCAATCTTTATATAGTAAAACGACATATTTTAACGAGGTTTAGTACCTAAGCTTAGGTTGGGCTGTAATGTATATTCACTTTTCCATAGATATATATATATATATAATATATATATATATATATCTATATATATATAATATATATATATATATATATCTATATATATATTATATATATAGGAGTAGGATCAAATGAGAACACCTAAAAGGTTGAGAACGCGAGAACAGATCTGGACCATCTAATATTTAAGATGTGTGGCTATAATTAATTGTTATTTTTCTAATTATTAATACATTTAATTTTAATTTTTAAATTAAATAAAATTATAAAGGCTATTAAGGTAAATAAGCATTACCCTAATTTTGTAAACTCTTATAATTACTCTCTGTCTCTCTATGTTTTGACGAATCTCGTAGAGCTTTAAATTGATGAAACAGAAGCGACCTCCTTCAACTCGATCATCATCAGACATCGCCGTGTGTAAATCGGTAGTCTTCTTCCCTAAATTTTCCATAATAAACGAACACAACTCATTTCGATCGACTCAAAACTACTCGTGAAACACAACATGAGCTTTGAATCCAAAATGCAATTAACTCCGAGCAGACCTTAGTTCCAAGCACACAGTTTCGAATGTCAGGCGATCAACGTCTCATTCCGATTTTTAGCCGACAAGAACCCCGATTCAGAGTACAATTGAAACATCGACTGTGAGATGGTTCGCTCTGAGTCAATAATTTCAGTGCGAATCAAAGTCAATCCCCGAATATGAAGCTCCGATGACTCATGCACAACCTCACATCCACTCCGGCGCAACAAGGCAACGACGACTGAGGTAAGTTTCGATTCCTTTGCCATTGTTTGATTGCGATGTCTTTGTTAATACGATGTCTTTGTTAATTTCTTGTCTGAAAATGATTTCATAGTTATGTAAAATCTGTTCTTTGCTGATTTCATACATAGTCTATGTATTTGTTGATTTCGAGTTTAGCAAGATGTACAATTTTGAGTCGAAATCAATTTTATGGTCGAACTCAATTTCGGGACTGGTAATTTTTATTAGGGTATACTCGTATTGGGTAAATAAGTTATGGATGCACTATAAAAGATAAAATTTCATTTTGTTAATTGTTCATGATTGGAACTATGCTTTTTAGATATAGAGATTAAGAGGTAAGCTTTGAGTTTCAATCATTAATGATTATAACATTTCATTTATGATTATAACATTTGTTGTAGGTTTTGGATGCTCTGCAGAAGAGAAAAGCATCAATTTCACCAACAGACAATTTTTGAAGAAATGGTAGCTTGATGTAAGTTTTGAGTTCCAATCATTAATAATTATAACATTTTATTAATGATTATAATATTTGTTGAAGGTTTTGGATGCTCTACAGAAGAGAAAAGCACTAATTTCACCAACACACTAGTTTTGAAGAGAAGAGAAAAGCACTAATTTCACCAACACACTAGTTTTGAAGAAAATGTAACTTGATGTTCAATTTTGTATTCTTGTATTCTGAATAGCTAATTATCATATTGTAATTTCTTTTATGTTTTGAGTTATTCATTCATGATTAAATGTATAAAATAGGTATTTATACTATGTATTGTATTCATTTGTGATTACAACTATATGAGATTTATTTTAAAAACTGTTCTTATTCATTTACAATTACAAATATATTGATTTTTTTAATTTTATATTCTATTTTATTCAATTACTATTATGATTGTATTCATTAAAAACTATAGCATTTTATATTTATGAAGAAAAATGTGTGTT